GCTTCTAAAGAATTGCCAGCAGCATTGTTTGTGGTTTAATTCTAGCTTGCATTCTGACCAAGGTCTGGGGCTTGGTCCTTTGGGATTGGGAGAACCTTTTTTCTTTTGCTGGGGTATTGATTTCGTCCTCATAATGAATGGCACTGGTGCTGATACTGGGAAACTGGAGTGTCAAAGGGAATTGCTTGTATGATCTATGGTAGCCAGTGGGGTGAGACCGAAGTCCTCTCTGTTTGGCAGGTTTGGTGTGCCTTAGAGATGGAGAACCACCAGCCTGGGGCAATGACTGCCCTGCTCTAAGCAACGTGTACTGAAATAACAAGGAGTCTGGTGGCACCTTAAAGTCTAACAGATTTATTTGGGCATAAGCTTTCGTGAGTAAAAACCTCACTAACTAAATCTGTTAGTCTTTAAGGTGCCACCAGACTCCTTGTTATTTCAGGACACGTTGCTTAGAGCAGGGCAGTCATTGCCCCAGGCTGGTTGTTCTCCATCTCTAAGGCACACCAAACCTGCCAAACAGAGAGGACTTCGGTCTCACCCCACTGGCTACCATAGATCATACAAGCAATTCCCTTTGACACTCCAGTTTCCCAGTATCAGCACCAGTGCCATTCATTATGAGGACGAAATCAATACCCCAGCAAAAGAAAAAAGGTTCTCCCAATCCCAAAGGACCAAGCCCCAGACCTAGGTCAGTATACAGGTCAGATCTTAACCACAAATCATGCTGTTGCCAATTCTTTAGAATCTAGAATCTAAAGGTTTATTCATAAAAAGAAGAAAATATAGATGGGAGCTAGACTTGGTTAAATGAAATCAATTATATACAGTAATGGCAACGTTATTGGTTCAGGCTTGTAGCAGTGATGGATTAAACTGGAGGCTCAAATCAAATCCCTGGAGTACATCCACAGCTGGGATGGGTCATTCAGTCCTATGTTCGGAGCTTCAGTGAAACAAAGTTCCTCCAGAGGTAAGAAGCAGGATTGAAGAGAAAATGGAGGAGTTTCCAGGGCCTTTTATATCATCTGCCATGTGACTTGTTCTTAGTTTTTCTCAAATACAAGCTGCCCAGCCATGGCTTGAAAGCCTTAGAGTTCTGTCCCGAGGTATGTCCCTGCATGCCTTGCTGAGTTACAAGGTGTATCTGCCTTCTCTCAATGGGTCAGTTGTATGGCTGATGGTCCTTCATGGGCCATTAAGCAGGCTAGGCAATGCTGATGCCCCACTGTCTGGGGTGTCACCCAGAAGCATAGTCCAAGTTTGAAATACAGACAGTATAGAGCCAATACTTATAACGTCAAATAGAAAAACGATACGTGCATACAGATAGCATAATCATAACCAGCAAATCATAACCTTTTCAAGGACACCTTACTTAACCTCCTTTGTACAAGGTTTGGTGCCACTATATGACCTTGGTTGCAACAATGGTCTATACAGTCACAGTTCATGTCAATAACGTCACAGCAGGATCAACCCCCACAACATTCCCTTTGGGGAGAGACTCCCGGCACTGAACATGGTTCCCCACAAGAGAAGTTGACTGGACAAAGGGAGGGGAGGGATTCACCACAGGGTAAATACCTTGAGGTATTTCTCGGTCTTCCCTGTGTTCCATTTTCCATGTTGGGAATCCCTCTCCCTTTTGGCAATATGGGGAGGGCAGGGTGAGTGTGACCCCCAGATTGACAAGCCCCTGCCTTAAAGGGAATATGAGAATCCTCTCAGGCTGTCGCGGGAAGACATGGGCAGGCTCACAGGACCAGTTCCCTCCCTGAAATAGCAACACTGAAGACACTGGAGTGACCCAGGGATGAGTTTGCCCCATGATAAGAAAGGAGTTTATGTGGATGATGGGAATATCCATATTTAAGCAATACACTGATTGGGAGAGAGAGAGAAACTATTCTGATTGTTGGCACTGGCCAACCTCAAATTAGCAAAGCCAGGAATTGGACCCAAGACTCCTGACTGCCAGGGCAGCTCCTTAATCACAAGACCACCCTTCCTCAGACCAGCTCACCTTTACCGGCTCTCCGGGGTGTGCTGCTCACTCCCTGCACTGCCAGTTCCATCTGCTTTGAGCTTTCCCATTTGTGGTAGGAGCTGTCTGGGTGCATGGCTGCTGATGTCTCTGTTCTACGCCTTGCTGTCGGTGCAGTTTATATCGATAGGAGCCTTCATCATGCCTTTCCAGAGAAATGGCCGCCTATGACCACACTTCCCATTCTCACAATTGCCAGGTCAGGAATCATGGCCCAACCATTTCCTCTCCAGGTCAGTGCAGAGTCATAGAGATGTTGGGATGTAGATCATTGAAGCCTGGTCTGAATACCGAAGCATGGAGTTAAGGTCAAGGATTCTTAGAACTCTTTTTGCAAAAACAATTTTACAATCCAAGAAAAATACAGAAATCATCAGAAAAGGAAACAATTCCAGCTGGACTGAGATAAAATTGTGTAAGAATTTCGGGAAATGGCATTCCTTGGCTCATGGCCTTGGCTCATGGCAGCCCGCCCAAGGTTGTTTCTTTGGAATTGTGCGGTGAGAAGGCCTGATGGAAGGAACCTACACTGGCAATTGGGACCATTCTGAACATAAGAACATAAGAACGGCCATACTGGGTCAGACCAAAGGTCCATCCAGCCAGTATCCTGTCTACCAACAGTGGCCAATGCCAGGTGCCCCAGAGGGAGTGAACCTAACAGGTAATGATCAAGTGATCTCTCTCCTGCCATCCATCTCCACCCACTGACAAACAGAGGCTAGGGACACCATTCCTTACCCGTCCTGGCTAATAGCCATTAATGGACTTAACCTCCATGAATTTATCCAGTTCTCTTTTAAACCCTGTTATAGTCCTAGCCTTCACAACCTCCTCAGGAAAGAAGTTCCACAAGTTGACTGTGCGCTGTGTGAAGAAGAACTTCCTTTTATTTGTTTTAAACCTGCTGTCCATTAATTTCATTTGGTGGCCCCTAGTTCTTATATTATGGGAACAAGTAAATAATTTTTCCTTATTCACTTTCTTCACATCACTCATGATTTTATATACCTCTATCATATCCCACCTTTAGTCTCCGCTTTTCCAAGCTGAAAAGTCCTAGCCTCTTTAATCTCTCCTCATATGGGACCCATTCCAAACTCCTAATCATTTAGTTGCCCTTCGCTGAACCTTTTCTAATGCCAGTATATCTTTTTTGAGATGAGGAGACCACATCTTACTCAGTATTCAAGATGTGGGCGTACCATGGATTTATATAAGGGCAATAAGATATTCTCTGTCCTAGTCTCTATCCCCTTATGACCTTTGGACTCTGGAATAGTATGTTTGGGGTGTGAATGTGGAGGGAGTAAGGTTTGTTTTGTTATCAATAAAGACCATTTAGAGTATTATATACCAACACTGTGTCCAGTATCTCCTTGCTCCCCATCCCGTAGGGAGACCTCTACTGCGGGTCTAACAAGTGGTGGAGAATGCGGAGGGAGGAGAGATATTAAGGAGTGCTGGATTTGGAGACGGGGTCTTACAGTGTTGAGGGAGTCCTTATTTAAGACTAATAAGGGTGACTCCTTATTTGTGAAATTGCTGAGGGGAAAACGTGTGGGAGATCCACCATGGTGTCAGTGTAATAACGTTTAAAATACTTTTTTAAGAAGAGAAGAAAAGGGGTGGAAGAGGAACCCCAGTAGACGAAAGTTAAAGCCCCTTCTTTCTTAGAGAAGGAGATTATTGCATTTGGGACATGCCCTTGAATGCAAGGTGCAGTGGAACCGGATGTAACATTTGATACCTTAGAAAACATGTTTGAGAAAGATGTACAAACATATAAGCCGAATGCCAGTAAAAAGCAAACAGCCGTAGTATTGTTGTTTTGGCAAGCTGTAAAAGGCAATTTTATGTAAGGGGGAAATCTGTGCAGAGTTACAAATATTACAAGTTTCAAAGTAGCAGCCGTGTTAGTCTGTATCCGCAAAAAGAACAGGAGTACGCTTTCGTGGGCTACAGCCCACTTCATCAGATACATTACAAGAGAATTTTAAAACTTGGCAGGAAAATTTGGAGCGGGAAGTGAGGCAGGCGCAGATAATGCAAACTCCGTTAGAACAAATAGGGAAAGAAAATAGGGAACTGTAGAAAAGAATGATGGATTGGAAAAAGATTAAAGCAGATAAAAATAAATTAGATCATCAAGTGATAGGAATGAAACAGTTAATTCGAGATTTCATCAATGGAAAGGAAGAGGAGATCACAAGCATTTCTCACAGTTGGTGCCAGAAAATTAGAGCAGGACAGAAAAAGCAAGTGAAAATACAGGAGCTACAAGTTGCAGAGGTGTGTCAAAAAGAAAGAGATGTGTATTTGTGTTTGGATTTAAATATTTGGTATGGAGAGGATCTGCGAGGGGGTTAAGAGAAAAGGGAATTTGACCAACCTCAAGAGGGGCTTTATATTAAGTTAAGGGAAGAAATAAGAAACTGGCCTGGAGAACCTAAGCCAGAAAAGTGTGTAGCAGTGATAGAATGGAGGTCAACCATTAAGGATTTAGTGGGGGAGATACAGTAAGAGCAGACACAAATAATTCCTGTAAATTCATCAGATTTATAGTTGATGGTAAAGTCATTAGGCCCATTGAATATGAAAAATTTAGCTCCATGGCTAGTACAGTGGGCAGAGTTAGGAGGAAGAGAGAATTTAAATATGAGTGAATCTTATAGGTTAATCAGGGCAGCTACCACTGGGAGATTAGACAGTCAGTAGATCGAGTGAAAATGTTTTGGACAGGCAGCCAGAAGCACACCAACTGATAGCACGATTTATTATGCTGTTAGGGAAAGATAAAGGTCAAAGACCCATGAATGTTTTATCCTATGCAGATTACATGAAGCCTGGAGATTCAGCCACGGATTACTTATTAAGGAGACTAACATTGAGATTCTTGACTGGAGAAATACAACTGGTAACTAATCCCAGGGTGGAGGTCGCCAGACATGTCACGGCTGATTCTTTGATGGCAGTTGATTTGACTCAGAGGGAATTTTGGCAGATAACAGGAACGTGCTGACCCATCCTAAAAACAGGGTTAAAAGAATAATATGATGGATCGAGTTGTTTTGCTCATACCAACATGTACAAGGTAATAGGCGGCACCTGGACACATAGAGGGGTTGTACTTCAATACGTCAGGAGTGATGTGTAATTTGTTTGTACCTGTGTATAAAAGTACCCCTGAAGAGTTGTCTTTGTCTGGCGTAGGGGGCAGTGGACAATCCCGCCACTGTCTGAGATGGTCCATTGTCAGGGGGCACATATTCGTAGTACATCCTGTAGGGTCTGTGGGAAACTATTACTATCCTTCATTTGACAATAAACCTGGTCGGGTGTCCTCATACCTTATTGGAGTCTGTGGTTATTGGGGTTTCTTTCAGGGTCTGCTATGTCAGCGATCTGCGCAGAGACGTGGAAGCACGCAGTGGGAACACATGCACGCAGCCAACTGTTATTAACATTGAACAGGACAGAGCACCACACTGGTGACATCTGACGACATTGGTGACCCCGACCGCTGATCTGGTGAGTAAGCGAGCTGTCAGCTGGAGGAATCGTGATCTAACATGACAGAAAACAACTTGTTTTGAAGGCACTGCCTTCTGGGGTGATAGAATGGATGAATGCTTGGTGTGAGAATGGAGGCAGAGACGTACCTTGGAATGAATGGATTGAAAAAGTGGAGACTGCGGTTAAACAGCAGGAAGGAACTCCTGTCAATGAGCTGCGAACACAGTTAGGACAGTGGAAAACAGAGTCCTGGATACTCTCCCAGTGGCCAGGGTTGGAGAGATCGTGGAATGAACAGAGGTAGAGGAGTAAATAAAGAGAGTGAATGGGTGTCTCCTGGAGCTCTGAAACAGGAGAACGTAGACCTTAAAGGAGAGAATGAGACGCTGTGGGCGCAGCTACAGGCATGTATGATTGGCAAGGAGTCTCAAAAGGAGGAAGAAAAGGCAGTGAGGAAGATGGCTAAAGTGACTGTTTTGGTGTCTGGATTGAATGATCCGATTGCTAGTAATTCAGTAGCATAGGACAGCCTTCCCCGCAACTCGGAATGCATTTTCCAGCAACCCATGACAATAGATGTCTGGGGACGCCCCCACTTAAATATCTGAGTCAGGGACGGGCTTTTCTATTGGACATGGGGGCTGGAATTCCTATAATAAAAGATGTATTTAATGTATATCCAGTTGTGGAATCCATACAAATACAGGGCATATCAGGAACTAAGCAAACATACCATTTTGGTGTACATACCATTCAGGAGAAGTGTGCTATTGCAGGGAGAGAAAATCTAATTGGGGCAGAAACTATCAAACGATTGGGAATAATCCTGGATGTCCCAAATATGTGTATCAGACAACTCTCACTGTAATGGGAGAAACAAATGACGTTAATCTGATCCTCACGGGGCTTTCCACTCAGATGGTAAAAGCGATAAAGCCTAAACAGGCACCTCCTGTGCTGGAAGGCTGGGAAAGCTGATGGGCTGAGATTCAAACCATCTGGACAGTGGACTCCCTAGATATGGGAAAAATACAAAGCTCTGTTACAATAGAAGGAGACACACCCCCATACATAAAACACTACCCAATACCTCAGGGAGCAAAAGAATCTTTAAGGCGAGTTATAGAAGAATTGGAAATACGAGAATTAATTCCAAGGTGTTCAGTGCCTAACGTGGCACCACTCTTGCCAGTTAAAAATCCTGCTGGAACATGGAGATTAACTATTGACTGTCGGGGGTTAAACAGAACTGCCAAACGGGGAGCACCAGTAGTGGCTGCTTACCCAGACCTGTTGGAGGTAGTAACCCCTGACATGAAGTGGTTCTCGGTAGTTGACGTGGGAAACGGCTTTTGGAGTTTACTTTTAAACCCAGAGTCTCAATACAGAACATCCTTTGTATTCCAAGGTATGCAATACTGCTGGGGTGTTTTGCCTATGGGGTACTGTGAAACACCCACAATATTTCATACTGTAGTGAGAAATATGCTAGAGAAGGAGGGACTGTTACAAACGGGAAGGATAGTCCAGTATGTAGATGACATTTTAATAGTCAGTGAAACAGAACAGGAACATGAAGCGTTAATGTGGCAGTTATTGACTTGCTGCTAAGTGCACGGCTTGAAACTTAACCCCTCTAAATCCCTGATTAAACAGAAAGAAAAGTCCAATATCTTGGAATTCGACTCAGTACAGGGGGAAGGTCTGTGGATAAGGACAGGGTGAAGTGTATTGTTAACCTCCCTATGCCGGTAGATACTAAATCTTTGCAATCTGTTTGGGGGCTCTAACTTCTGCAGAAAATTTATGGTTGGGTATGCAGAGCAGACAGGTCCCCTGTATGAGGTACTGAAAAGACCACAGTGGACCTGGACAGAAGAGGCAACTAATACATGGGAAAGCCTGAAAAAAGGGTTAATGGAGGCACCTACTTTGGCCGCCCCTAACGACTAATTCCCCTAGTGTGAAGAATGTCTGTATTGTTAGTGTGCTTACACAGGATACTGGTGCTGGGGAGAGACCCATTGCTTATTATAGCAGAGCATTGACAGGTCCAGAAAGCAAACTGGGAATTTGTGAGCAAACTGCTCTCGCTGCTGACTGGACACTACAAAAAGCTCAGGCAATTATTGGAGCAAGCAATGTGATTGTAAAGAGTCACCATCCGCTGGGAAAATTATTCAGTCAGGAAAATCTGGCTAAAGGACATATGAGAGTAGATAAGGCCATTCAAAGGGTCTTTGCTCTCACGTCCGAGAATGTTCAATTAGTCCCATTGAAAGAATCTGAAATATCTGTATGGGGATCGACTATAAGCGGTCCAGAACATGTTTGTGAACCCCAACGGGAATCCAAAGCACACCCTGTCTTTAAAACAACCCCAGTTGAACAGGTGATTGGAAGAACCATTTGGTTTGTGGACAGTAGCTCATTTTACACCAAAGGAAGATGCGTCACTGGCTTTGCAGGGATTTGCTTCACTGGAAACCTGCAAATAGTTAACTTCATCCAGTACAAATTGATCAAAGGAGGAACACCATCTGCAGAAGTGTCAGCAGTCTTGGAAGTTTTAGCTAGAATGAAGAACAAGCAAACAGAGCTAATAATAGGAACTGATTCAGATTATGTTTACAAGGAAACCACCACCTACCTATCATGGTGGAATAGTGTAGGTTTTACGGGAACTGACAGATCTGACATTAAAAACAAGACCTTATGGCAGCAAATAGAGAAATTGGCAGGGCAGTATCAGAGGATCCAGATGGTTAAAATAAAAGCCCATTGTTCTAGGGCTTATTCCTTCACTCTCACTTCTCTGGTCCTCCTCGCGTGAACAGAGAGCAGCAATACCCAAAGTCCAAAGGTGCAAACAATTCAATGTTTATTGGGGTGAACTTCCATCAAGCAATGATTCCAATTTCCTTCCTCAGTGTCCCCCTTCCCAGCTCTGACACCACAGAGCCTTGCCTGTGTCCCTGTTCCCAACCCCCCCCTTAGGAAAACATTATTCTAATTCCCCCCTTATCTTCCTGATTGACTGCAGACTATCTAGTAAAACTGCTTCGCTATACCTTAACCAATCATCAGAGGGGTAGCCGTGTTAGTCTGGATCTGTAAAAAGCGAGAAAGAGTCCCGTGGCACCTCATCCATGGCCAGATGCATCTGATGAAGTGGGTATTCACCCACGAAAGCTTATGCTCCAATACGTCTGTTAGTCTATAAGGTTCTACCGGACTCTCTCTCGCTTGTAACCAATCATTTTACTGAAATTTAACTAACCAATCCTAACACATTCTAACATGGTTATTTAACCAATTATATCCCACCACCTTAATTGGTTTGCACCCAACAAAATTAATTATACAGCAGACAGAAACAATCACAGAACCAGACAGATTATACAGACAAACAAAGGGAAATGGGGACTACAATGATAGAACAACAAAGAAATGAGGACTTGTGGCACCTTAGAGACTAACAAATTTATTAGAGCATAAGCTTTCGTGGACTACAGCCCACTTCTTCGTATGCATCTGAAGGTGTCAAGGCTGAATCCCCACTCTGGCACTTCGAGTGCAGAAGGTGGGGGCCCGCAAGGATTTTAAAAATTAATACTGGCCACTTCGGGCTTGTATTATACCCCCAAGGTTACAGCTTTTCTCTGAACTTGGCTTGGTAAACTCTGCCACCACCCAGAGGCAAAAACAACAACAAAAAACAAAACAAAACAAAACAAAACACCCAAACACTTGAACCCAGGAAGAGCACTTTGGAATTCCTCCCTGTGGGTACCCTCAAGCCCTTTCACTCCCCCTCCAGGGAAGAGCTGAGAAGGAAAACAAAGGAAATCTGTTATCACCAGTTAATTAAACGATATATGCACAAACCTCTTAGGACACCAAAAATCCAGTCCTGTTCTTCAAAAAGGTACGTTTTATTCAAAACAAAAAGGAAGAAAATACATCTGGAACTTAGGCTTTTGCTAGATTTTAAAAGAGCAATTCCAAAAAACTAAGCACCCAAAATAGCTTTCTTGGGGTGCAGCTTAAAGGATACAAGCAAACAAAAGCTTCTGGGATTAGCACAGAGGAGATCCACAAGCCAAAATAAAGAAATAAACCTCATCGCATCTATCTAAACACTCAGGGTCCCAATGATTCCTTCTAGGTATGGAAGATAATTTTTCATACCTGGTTCAAGCCTTACACAGCATTCCTGTGTATAGCATTGCTGCTCCATGTCCCTGCAGCACAGAGAGAACAACAGACAACAAAGGGAAGGTTTTTTTTACCAATTTTAAAAAGTTCAGGTGCCCACTCCCCTCCCCCCTCCTTTTTTTTGTGCCTATGCAAGGAGGCTTTTTAACCCTTTACAGGTAAAGCAAGCAGAGAACAGTTACCAAGAGGGATTTTACAGCTAACTGGCCGGCTGGGTGTCCATAAAAGGGTTCTCCCCCCCCCTTCATTTATTACCCACCCCCCAAATCACAGATGGTGCTGGCCAGCCTGGTTCAGGTTGGGTCCACACCTGCTGGAATTTCTTCCTGGAGATTTAGGAAACAGAGCTAATAAGATACATGCACCTCTAATTTCACTAATAATTACAAGTAGAACTAAATGGTTCTTTTTATGTTTCAAGGTCTACAATGATTTAGAACATAGGCACCCTGACAGCAGGATTGTCTCGCTATGTAGACTCTCTCCTCAGGCCCTATGCTACCAGCACTTCTAGCTATCTTCGAGACACCACTGATTTCCTGAGGAAACTACAATCCATTGGTAGTCTCCCAGAAAACACCATCCTAGCCACTATGGATGTAGAAGCTCTCTACACCAACATTCCACACAAAGATGGACTACAAGCCGTCAGGAACAGTATCCCCGATAATGTCATGGCAAACCTGGTGGATGAACTTTGTGACTTTGTCCTCACCCACAACTATTTCAGATTTGGGAACAATTTATACCTTCAAGTCAGCGGGACTGCTATGGGTATCTGCATGGCCCCACAGTATGCCAACATTTTTATGGTTGACTTAGAACAACACTTCCTCAGCTCTCATCCCCTAACACCCCTACTCTACTTGCACTACATTGATGACATGTTCATCATCTGGACCCATGGGAAGGAGGTCCTTGAAGAATTCCACCAGGATTTCAACAATTTCCACGCCACCATCAACCTCAGCCTGGAGCAGTCCACACAAGAGATCCACTTCCTAGACACTACAGTGCAAATAAGCGATGGTCACATAAACACCACCCTATACCGGAAACCTACTGACCACTATACTTACCTACATGCCTCCAGCTTTCATCCAGACCACATCACACAATCCATTGTCTATAGCCAAGCTCTAAGATACAACCGCATTTGCTCCAATCCCTCAGACAGAGACAAACACCTACAGGATCTCTATCAAGCATTCTTAAAACTACAATACCCACCTGCTGAAGTGAAGTGAAGAAACAGATTGATAGAGCCAGAAGTCACCTACTACAGGACAGGCCCAACAAACAAAGTAACAGAACACCACTAGCTGTCAACTACAGCCCCCAACTAAAACCTCTCCAGTGCATCATCAGGGATCTACAACCTCTCCTGAAGGACGATCCCTCACTCTCACAGACCTTGGGAGACAGGCCAGTCCTCGCTTACAGACAGCCCTCCAACCTGAAGCAAATACTCACCAGCAACTACATAACACAACACTAACTCAGGAACCAAACCCTGCAACAAACCCCAGTGCCAACTCTGTCCACATATCTATGCGGACCTAGTCACATCAGCTACACCATCAGGGGCTCATTCACCTGCACATCTACCAATGTGATATATGCCATCATGTGCTAGCAATGCCCCACTGCCATGTACATTGGCCAAACTGGACAGTCTCTACGCAAAAGAATAAATGCACACAAATCTGACACCAGGAATTATAACATTCAAAAACCAGTAGGAGAACACTTCAGTCTCCCTGGACACTCAATAACAGACTTAAAAGTGGCAATTCTTCAAAAAAAACAACCAAAAACAAACCTTCAAAACAGACTCTACCGAGAAACTACAGAACTGGAATTAATTTGGAAACTGGACACCATCAAATTAGGTCTGAATAAAGACTGAGAGTGGATGGGTCACTACAAAAACTAATTTTCCCCTGCTGATTCTTACACCTTCTTGTCAACTGTATGAAATGGGCCACATTGAACTCATTAGCACTACAAAAGTGATTTTTTTCTCCCTTCTTGTTAACTGTTGAGAATAGCCCACTTCCAATTGAATTGCCTCTTTAGCACTGACCCCCAACTTGGTAAGGCAGCTCCCATCTTTTCATATGCTGTGTATTTATACCTTTCTACTGTATTTTCCACTCCATGCATCTGATGAAGTGGGTTTTAGCCCACAAAAGCTTATGCCCAAATAAATGTGTTAGTCTCTAAGGTGCCACAAGGACTCCTCGTTGTTTTTGCTGATACAGACTAACATGGCTACCCCTCTGAAACCTGTTAGAATGTAGGGACATTTTTACCCAGCTGATTCTGGGACACCTTCCCAGGAGAGTGCATTAGCCACTTCGTTAGAGGCTCCTGAAATGTGTTGTATTTCAAAAATCAAAGTCTTGAAGAGCTAGACTCCACCGAAGACGTTTTTTGTTAGTCTCTGACTGTGTGAAGCCACTTCAGCGCAGCATGGTCAGTCTGCAGGTGGAACCGCCGTCCCCAAATGTATGGGCGTAGCCTCTCCAGAGCGTACACAATGGCATAACATTCTTTTTCTGAGACTGACCAGGGGCTTTCCCTCTCAGAAAGTTTTTTGCTGAGACAGGATGGAATTGTTGATTTGGTTCTTCCTGCATTAAAACTGCTCCCACACCCCGCTCAGACGCATCTGTGGTTACGATGAACGGTTGGTTGGAGTCTGGGGCCCTCAGTACAGGGTCAGACGTAAGGGTCACCTAAAGCTGGATAAAGGCTTTCTGACACTTCTCAGCCCACTGAACTGCACTTGGCTGATTTTTCCTTGTTAAGTCTTTCAGCGGGGTGGCGATTTGGCTGTAGTGTGGTACAAATCATCGGTAATAACCACGAAGCCCAAGAAGGATTGGACATGCTTCTTAGACTTAGGTACAGGCCAATTTTGGATAGCATTTACCTTAGCCTGTAGGGGGTTGATAGTACCTTCACCCACCTGGTGTCCAAGGTATGTTCCCCTGTTTAGGCCTATTTGACACTTTTTGGCCTTAATGGTTAATCCTGCCTCCCTTATGCACTGGAAGACAGATCGGAGGTGTTCCAGGTGTTCTGCCCGAGAATCTGAGAATATAGCCACATCATCTAGGTAGGTGACTGCAAATTCCCCAAATACAGCCAGAAGGTTACCTACCAGTCTCTGGAAGGTGGCGGGTGCATTTTGCAGTCCGAAAGGCAGCACATTAAATTCATACAACCCTACATGGGTGATGAAGGCTGACCTTTCCTTGGCGGGGTCATCTAGCGGTACTTGCCAGTACCTCTTAGTTAAGTCTAAGGTGGAGATGAACTGGGCACATCCCAGTTTTTCCAATAGCTCATCTGTGTGTGGCATTGGATAGTTCTCTGGGTGAGTTACAGCATTTAGCTTATGGTAGTCCACACAAAAGTGGATTTCCCTGTCTGGTTGGGAACCAGAACCACTGGAGAGGCCCGTGCACTCTCAGAGGGGAGGATTACACCCATCAGTAATATGTCCTTGATCTCCCTTTCTATTCCGGTTTTGGATGGAGGAGCTATCTGGTAGGGTTGGGCTCTAATTGGGCGAGCATCACTTGTGTCAATGGTGTGGTACGCCCGTTCTGTCCCTCCTGGGTTGGCTGAAAACATTGTCACAAAGGTGATGCACAGCTCCTGGATTTGCTGTTACTGCTTATGCCCAAGGGTGATGGAAAGGCTCACTTCTTCTATGCCACCGTTGCTTTTTCCTTCATAGTAGACTTCAGGCCACTCAGGATCCTCTCTCTCCTGGGCTGTAAAATGGAGAACCTTGATTTCTCGGGAATAAAAGGTCTTTAGAGAATTAACATGGTATACTTTAGGTTTTCGCAAAAAGAACAGGAGTACTTGTGGCACCTTAGAGACTAACAAATTTCGTGGGCTACAGCCCACTTCTTCGGATGTAGGATTTTTTCAAGCCAGGGTTAGAAGAAGTGAAGAAGGGGATGGAAATGTCAATCAATACTGCTGTGGTAATGAATAATCATTTTAAGGAGTGAGATGTTAAAGCAAATACTTCTAACATATACAGCATATAAGCCCCCTCATATATCACATATGATCATTTATCAGCCACATAGTAATCACAACATATATTCATTTATGTATATCCATATATTCATGTTATTTATAAAATTTAGATTTTTTTTTCTCATCAAAGCCCCAAGTGTGGACTAACAAATACCGGCAAAGGCACAAGCACAGACCCCACAACTCAGTCGAGGTCCCGGCACTAACATTCCCAGGCCCACCATAAGGGACTAAAAATAATTGGATAATAAAATTTGTCTATCAGTCA